GGTTGATTTGGGTCGGCTGAGACCTTCAGAAAAGCATAAGTGCAGCCGACATGTGTGGGCAGCATGCTGGTGCTCCCCGAATTATCACTGTTTTTAGAGCCACGTAGCTCCTTATCTTGTTACTTGTTTCTGATATCCTTTTTAACCTATTTGCAGGATTTCATGCCCCATAGAGGTCCCCAAACGTGTGAAGAATCATGAGGACAAGAGAGCTTCACGGCGGGGAGCCTACCTTCCAGTTTGAACTTCGAAATATGTAAGACGGCAGGCGGCCCTATCGTGGAAATGGCAGTCAAGGTTTTCCCTCAGGAGTGCTCAACAATGCAAGTTAACTGCGACACAGTACTTAGGCGTCAGGCGCAACTTGACGGTGGCGTAGTACCTGGGTGACGGCCAAGAGTAGACCGTCCATGTCAATGACTGAGTTGACTTTCGGATTCCGAGAGAGTTCCTTAAGCTTCCTAGCAACCCCTTGACTAGATCATTGTATTTGATGGTGATGGGTTCTCCCGGCCATGACCCTGTACATTTTTGTTTTTTTTCTTGTAGCATGAAGTTGACTGATGTGACATCTGACTGAAGTAATGTTGAATTCATATGTTTCTTTTCCTATACTTTGCATTACGAATACTTAGCAATTTATTCGGGGATCCGGCTTCTCTAACCTCCCAGGGGGGCGGTTAGGCTGGCGTGGCCGAGCCTATCCGTGCCCCTCCCAGTCGGATAGAAGTGATCTGTTCGCTGTTCATATGGAATCAACAAGTATGCGACTTGTTCGCCCAGCAAGGTCGGACATTGAACCTACGAGGAGGACCCTTAGGTCGGCATTCTGAACGTTCATGACCCGGGGGTCAGTTCTACTGTCGCTTTAACCCGCCAGTTTGCCCAGACTTGGGGAATAATCTGGTTACTCCCGCAGGGATAGCCAAACAACAGGGTCGAACCCTGCACGATCCACCAGAACGGACCCGCACCGCCAACTCGGGGATGGCGAGAGTGCAAGCTGCTTGGCCAGCGATGTTAAGTGGTGAGCACTTGAAAGGACCTGGAGGTCAGCATCCTGAGCACCCTCGACCCGAAGGTCGGCCCTACTGTCGCCTCGACTATCGCGGCTAGCTCTTTACTTTAGAAAATTGCTCAGATTCTCAAAAATCGCTTGACTATTTTCAGTTCAAGAGACTGACCGAGGTCGGTCAAACACCGAGGGGGCATAGTACCTTTTTTTGCTTCGTTTGCTTTTTTTGCTTTTTTTTCACCACCCTTCATTGCTAAGTGAGGTCGGACCTCTTTTGAAGACAAAATTTCGTATGCAAAGTAGTAGAATTTTCATAATGTGAGTGGAACACGTTGAAGTCGTAATCCCATGTTTTGGAACTAATCGAGGTCCGATCATGAAGGGACATTTCCCTTTGATGGGGAGCTTTCCTCTTGGTCTTCCAAGGTGGTTTCAGCACGAAGCTAACCCTTCTCGCGCTTTACTCCCTTGTCGTTGATCATGTGGACCCTCAAGTCCTTTTCACCGATTTGATTGCAAGCTTTCAGATTGCAGCTCCTTGCCATCCGCTGGTCTCCCTTGGCAACTCCGACGCCATTCGGAATGGGGAACTTCATGCATAGGTGTTCCTGGGATATTACACACCTCAAATCTTCCAGGGTTGGCCTTCCCATGATGATCTTATGGGAACAAGTTAGGCGTATGACGATAAATTCGACATCTAACCTGGATACGCAGGGCTCAGAGTCCACCATCACGGGGAGGACTATGTTGCCCTCCGACTCAATGGAGTCACCGGTGAAGCCTGAGAGCGAGGTTCTTACCGGGATCAAGTTCTTTCGGTCCAGGCCGAGACCCTGGAAGGTATCATAGTACATGATGTAAACAGAGCTCCCACTGTCCACCAGGACTCGGTGAACGATGGTGTCATTGATTTCGATCTTGATCACCAAGGCGTCTCTGTGCGGCGGAGGCATCGGTGGCAAATCTGCGTCGGTGAAGAAGATAGGATCCCTCTTCACCCTCTTGTCGATGGGGGCCCTGGTTATCTCCTCGACATACAAGGCTCGGGCCCACTGCTTTCGTTCTCTAGAGGTGTCACCTCCCTGGGGTCCCCCGAATATGTACGAACATCGATGGTGCTTCCTGGATCCATCCCCCAGGTCGGTATCCTCTTCCTCGGAGAGGGCACCGAGCTCCCGCTTCTTGGCGGGTTGTTTCTCCCTTGACGTGGGAGCTTGGTCGGACCGCTGCCACGTCAGGCTCCTCTTCTGCGGCATGTTTCCTTGTTTGCCAACAAATTGGCTCAGGTACCATTTCTGGATGAGCTCTTCAATCTGCCGTAATGGGACTAGGCCCAGAGCCTAATCAGCCCAAGCCCCGAACTTGGACCCGTGTATCCAAGTCCACAACCTGGAGCCTATCTGCCAGCCCAACGGGGAGTCTGCCAGTCCGGCTGACCACCCAGCACGGAAGATTAACGGTCAAGCAATTAATGCGCTATTAATTATGTATTTAATTTCGAATTAATGTTGTATTTAATTAGTCATTATTATCGGTAGCGGTTACGATTTGTATACGCCTATAAAAGGCGGCTTGTAATTCATATTAGGGAATCAAATTCTATATGCTATTTCTGGCTACCAAATTCCCTTTGCGACTTCCCTTATTCATATTACTTTCTTGATTCCTGCTTGAGTGTCGTACGTAGCTTTCCTAAAAGCCTACGAGTGTCCTATTTTGGACCAACATTGGTGCTTTCATTGAGAGCCTCTATTGCCTCTCATATGTCTCAAGTAGGAATCACAAGAAAATCCAAGGAAAAAATGAACTGGAAAAGAAAGAAAAGAGTTTTGGAAATCGGTTTTGGAGGATCTGGATGAACGGAAGAATCTGGTTAGATTGACAGTCCCGACGCGGACCGATCCAGTGGCCACCGGAGGACAGTCCCGAGCTCAGATGGCTCTTACTAGCAGTTCGGCGGTCTCAGATTTCCATTAATGGCGAATTTAGCTCCGACGGTGTAGTTGGAGTTTGCGGACCATGGCCTCTCTTCATTCCCGGCAACCTGGTACGAGCTCCGGCACATCTGTAAAATTTTGCTCGCCTCGCTTCTTGGTCGCTCCGCCACCACACATCTCACCATCCGCCATTAATGGCTGCTCAGAGCTCTGGGTGGGAAGGACATACTATCCTCGTCGTCCAGCTGTCCTCGCAGAACCACCGTGCCACGCTACGACTATCCTATCCGCCACCATCCTCACGGTGTTGAGGTGCGCCGAGGTGGATCTTTTTTGCTCTTGCTACAGTAGCGGTGTGGCTGCTCCCTTGATCGTTAGATAACTCTGCTAACCTGCGGATGTGTGGGCATAAGGTTACATTGACCTGATCCAAAGTATGGGTCAAATCCAGCAAGGTGGATGGAATAGTGGGCCGAATCACATTTTTGGTGCACATCGGAGCCTACTGAAGCTAAGTGCATTAAAACACCTTCTATAAAATTAATATACGGGGAAATACTTTAACAAATTCATCTCAATAAAAAGTGAATGACAAAAAATCAAAAAACTGATTTTCACAAAAAACTGTTTTGCCATAATATGATTGTCAGATTACATTTCTGCCATAAACTTGCAAAATTGTAAGCCATCATCCAAAAACTGCCATAAACTTGGCCAAATCAGAAGCTATCATCTAAAGTTTTTGAAAACCAGATTTTTGTTAAAACTTAGAGATAAGAAACCGCAAAATCGAAAAACAAGTCTGAATTTGACAAAATCAATTGCAAATCAAGAAAATCAGAGGAAAATCGGAAAAGAAAGAGAAGAAAGAGATGGAGAAGGAGAAGAAAGAGAAAGAGAAGGATGAGAAGAAACCTGAAATACGAAGCAAAATAAAGACGATGGCGGTGGATAGCGAAGGCGGCGAAGGCATAGGCGGTGGAAGCACCGTGTGGTGGAGTCCGCAACGGGCAGATCCACATGGAGAAGATGAGATACCAACTCTTTGCGTTGAGGTCTGTGAGAAGGAAGCAATCGATCTATGAAAGGAGAAGGGGAGAGACAATGCGTAAATGGGTGCAGGGGCAAACTTGGGAAGCATATTTACGTATCTTTAACGATAGGAGTAAATTGATCCTATTAAGAAAAGAAAACATAATAAGTCCTATTTTTGCATTTGATTCTTGTTTTAGTCTTATATGGGACAATTACTTGAATTTTTACTCATATGAAACTACACGAAACTACTTTGGATTCCTAGGTTCACACTTATACTAATTAAGGAAGTTGTATTTATAGAGGTGTTTTGTCCTGGCAAGAATTCCCTAGCCGGCCTTGATTAGCTTATATACTCCCGAGATCAATTCCGGTACCTTTCCAAAAAATGGGATACCGTATCTAACATTCATTTGATTGGACCACATTACTTTATTATTTTTAATTTAGATTTAAATAATTCAACTGATATATTTTTATTGGTCCATGTGGACAAATGTATGATATCTTATGGGTATCATAGAATCTACCGTAATATAATCCGTACGTTACATTTCTAAGCTAGCCGGCTTGCTAGCTAGCTATATAGCTGTGATCGATTAGTGGAGTACATATATGTATGTACTATCCTCCGTATCTCATTAGTTGCAACATTGAAATATATACACTATTCATGTACTTTACTTTGACTACATTTTATTTATTAATGTATGTGAATTATTTTTTTTGAAAAATGTTGTTAAATTCGTCTCATTACTAAGTTTTATAATCTGAATTTTATTTTATTTTACTAATACAAAATTAAATATAATGACGGTCAAAGTTCTGCGTTGATAAACATGAAATGTTGATCGTTGAAACTAAAAAGAGACTTATATTATGTACAGTGAATTAGGTACGTAGGAATTGAAGTATCGTGAATTAATATCGGTACGTAGTGGTTGAATATTATTATTACCGTAGTATATAATTGTGACCGTACCCGGCCATATCATTTGTTTGATTGATTTGATAAAAGCTAGCTTAGCTTAGCTTAGCTAGAATGGGACGGAAGTGGGGTGTTATTATGGTGCAGGCGGCAGTGATGATATGTGCAGTAACAGCGCCGGCGGCGGATGGAGCTGCGGGGGGGAAGTGGGATTTACTGGTGGGAAACGTGGGGATTGCAGCCATGCACATGCAACTGCTGAACAACGACAGGGTAGTGATCCTGGACCGCACCGACTTCGGGCTGTCCAACATCTCCCTCCCGCCCGGGCAGTGCCGTGAAGACGCGAACGATTTGGCGACCAAAGTGGACTGCACCGCCCACTCCGTGGAGTACGACGTGGCCGGCAACACGGTGCGCCCTCTCATGGTCCAGACCGACGTCTGGTGCTCATCCGGAGGGGTGATGCCGGACGGCACTCTGGTACAGACCGGGGGATGGAACGACGGGGACCACGTCGTCCGGGTGCTCGCCCCCTGCGCCGACAACAAATGCGACTGGGTGGAGCTCCCGGGCGCGTTGCTGCAGTGGCGGTGGTACGCCACCAACCACATCCTGCCGGACGGCCGCCAAATCATCATCGGGGGGCGCGAGCAGTTCAACTACGAGTTCCATCCCAAGAGGGCGGGAGGCGGGGAGCTGCTGTACGATCTGCCGTTTTTAGCGGACACAAATGACCCCGGAGCTGAGAACAATTTGTACCCCTTCGTCTTCCTCAACGTCGACGGACATCTCTTCATTTTCGCCAACAATAAGGCCATTTTGTACGATTATGTTAAGCATGCCGTCGTCAGATCCTACCCCGCAATGCCCGACGCCCAACCCAGGTACATGCATGCATACATGCTCACGCATGTCATTGTTTTTCTCTTAAAATATGACTCAAAATATGATTTATTCATACGAAGTTTTTTATTCATATGATCAAATAAATCCTACTTCCGGAATAAAATATATGTAGTTCTATTTGTGCATTTTGTCTAAGTTTTCCTCCGATTTTCATAAAAGTGACACTTTTGATCACTCAACAATTATAATAATGACATTTTTAGTCATCCACTTATTGTGTCACAATCATAGTGGAATGACTAAAAATGTCAGAATCAAGTGACTAAATCTGAAAACTTTGAAGTTGAGGACTAAAAGTATCCCTAGCATAATATTTGAGAACTGAAATTGGAAAAATTAACATTTGAGTACCAAAAGTGACAATGAGCAATAGTTGGGGGACCGAGAATGACAAAAACTCTCATATCATATACCGTATCTTTCTAATCATCTATATATCCATCCAATTAAGGTCACTAGTTATTTCACTCATGTTGCACATGAGTTAAATACTACCTTCATCCCAAGAATATTCACCATATTGACTTTTCTTGGTCAACATTTGTAAACTTTGGACAATGATTTTAATTACGAGTATTATATATGTATATAATTTATAAAGTTTATACTTTTATGAAAATATTTTAATTAAGAAACGTTTTGATATTATTTTCACATTTAAAAGCATTTTGTATTAAAAAATATCAGTGGATACATTTGATTGTGATTGACAAAAAATCAGTTTGACAAACCTTTTTGGGACGTGGGAAGTATTATTTTAATGATTATTATATAAATGCATATAATAATGTTTACACGTCAAAACATGTTAGGTAAATAATTCTTATTGTTGTAATATTGCAGAAACATACTACCTCCGTCCCTTAAAATTTTGTCTAAGTTGACCGACACGGAGAATAATAAAGTAAAAACTGTGTGGTTGATGTTTGTGCAGAGGAGAGAGAAATAATAGAAACCACACAATAATTGATTAAAAGAGAAAGTGTCAAAGTTTTTTGGGACGTCCCAAAAATGAAAGATGACAAAGTTTTAAGGGAAGGAGGAAGTATAATATAACATGAGAACGAATAATTGATTGGATACACAAGCTACAACTTATAATGTGTTGCTGAGAAAATCTCTAAACTTTGAAAATAAACAAACTCACTCATGTGTAACGTGAATCAGTTTTCTTTTGATAAATTTGTCCATTTTTCTCTGTGAACGTTTCGATTTGCACTATTGATGATGTCATTTGCAATTTAATTACACTTAAGATAATCATGATCCTGAGTTTTTATTTGATAACTTAAAGTACACCTCTAATTTATTTTAAAGGAGGGATTAAAGAGAAAATTGCACAAAATAAAACCGTGAAAGAGAAAAATAATACTTCGTACTCCATATAAAGAATGATGATAGAGAAACTTGTGGTTGATACTTGGGTGTGATACAAAGGATGAATAATAGAGTGGAAAGTGTGAATTTGTAGATGTATTTATGAGAGAAAATATTTTTGTAACTTAAATACATTTAGTACAAAAATTGGAGGGAAATGATTATTGAGAGAGGATTCTCCCTTTGTAAATCATTAACTCTATGCTAAAGTATTTCTATATGTGTAGATAAGCAATTTCTTACTCTCTCCGTCCCTTATAACTTTACCAATTTTCCTTTTTTGGATGTTCCACTAACTTTGTCACTTTCCCTTTTAAGTAAAGAATTTGTGATTTCAGTTCATTCTCTCTTTTCTGCACAAACCTCAATCACATAATTTTTACTTTATTATTTTTCATGTCGATCAAACTTGGCAAAGTTATTAGCGATGGAGGATGTATTTGGTTATATTACCCGCACGGGTAGCTCAGTTCGTCGAGTGGTGGGAAAATTGGACTAAGTGACCAATGTCCGAAACCCGCAGCGGTCGTGTAGAGGTTACAGAACCTGAAAACTGGCCGAACATCTGGTGCGCGCGTGTATAAGACCTACCGCCGCTTTGCTGACTGAATCACCGTGATTAACCTCCCCACCAGGGGCGGCTTTGAGGGCAGTTGGGCCAGGCAACTGCCTTGGGCCTCAACTACCAAGGGGGACTCCAAAAAATTCTACTCCGGTATTAGTATTAGGTGTTATTCGCAGACCGCCAATACACCAAGCGGCAACTGCAAGCAGAAATCAGCTTTATAGTTCACTTTTGACTATACGTACTTCATCAAAGTTGTAGCTAATGAAGTCTTCTATCCAACACAACTTGCAAAACTGGATTTGAATCATCCAATAAAAATATATGAATAAAATGGTGGAAGGTCGCATTCTGAAATCTCAACAGAGATTGTCTGAATTCATCGTCTGTTTTCACTTTGCTTCTCTCAGATTCTCACAATGGTGTCTTCATATGATTTGTAGCCCTTGAAGTTGGCTTTCATATGAAACTTCAATCATGTTTTTTGGATGTTCCTAAGAAAAGATATGCTTGAACGATTGATAGAACGTCATCCCGACCGTTGTTTTCAAGCTCTATTCGTCTTCTTTTGATCCCGTAGCCAATTCTAGAGCTATTTTGTCTTCAAAACTTTGTATTTAACACCTCACTGATCTCCAATGCTCCTAATCAACTCTAAAATGCTTCTCAACTCGTCCCTATTGCTTCTCAAACACCGGTGGTGTCAGGCTCAAATTCCCTGATTTTGACTCCAAAAATACCAAAACTCGAACCAACGGCCGGTAAATATGACTTGAGCTTAAAATTGAGACTCATGACACCTTAAAGTTAGGAAAAAACTATCAAAAGCCGATCTCAACACGCATCAACATCCAACACAGACCGCTAATCGGCTACTGTATATATGCCTCACTGCCCGCCGTCGACATGGGTCCTTGGTTAGTGAATCAACTAAGACTCTTCAGCTCTTCTCTCTGAGTCTCGTTTTTGAAGTCTCTTAATACTTTTACAAGTACAAGTTTCCTTGTGTTTTGAATAAGTTTGCATTTTAAAATTTATCCTTTTGAATATTACAAACATTATATCGTGGACTTTGAATATGCTTTTTTCATAAGACGATTTTTATTCAATTTATCTGATTTTAAAAGTAATTTGTACATAGTAAATATTTTTCGTCTGGAGCCTCCAAAATGCTCAAGCCGTCTCTGCTCCCCACCATCCTATCGAGTCGGATGGGGCTCCTGGGATGGGAGATTCCGCCTTTTCGACTAAGGTTATACTACATTTTTTTTTTTGTCCCGAAAATTCGCCTAAGGTTACACTACGTTTTTTTTTATGTAACAACACTTCATATATCCTTTCAGCGGTAGGTAAGTAGGTAGAGAAAGCTGGCCTGGCCTACTAAATCCGTTTAGAATTCCCTCTCTCATTGGGAAAACTGCCGCTCCAATCGCCCATGCTATAACTAGTAGTATACTACGTATCGGAAACGTATAGTACCTACTCCGGTCACAATTGTCAAATATATATACGTACGTGCAAAAAACACATACCTACTATTTATTTATATTCGTCACAATTGTCAAATAAATTTACTTTTTTGTTTGTTCCAAAATGTTTTTTCACTTTCTATTTTATGTATGTAAATAATAATAAAGTGACAAATTTACCTTTACTTTTACTTTTTCCCCATTAACTTAAAGGCATCTACTTTTAGAAAGATGGAAAAAAAGTGTAAATAGCAAGTATCATTTATTGTCATTTCTTAATCCTTATGTCTGTCAAAATTTTCAAACTCTACGTGCTCCACCCATCATATCATAAGTTACGCACACTAATAATGGAAATATGGGATATTTTGTTGGAAGAAACAACACTCCACACACTCCTTTTGTTCGTAAAATAGAAAACAATGTATTAACTAATGTCGTAGAACGAAATGGGAGTAGAGACATTCATCAATGTGCAATCTTTCATTCTTTCCGATGAAAAACCTCCATATCCAAATCCAAAAACTCAACACGAACTTTGGATACATCAAGAAAATGGGTAAAGAATCACATGTATAAATTAAAGAAATATAAAACATGAATAATCGAAAACTCAAAAGCCCACTTGCATTAAGTAATTTGGTGATTACACAGTAAACTTCCTAAACGGTACGTCAGAATAGTGACTAATACAAGAAATAAGAGAGATAAATCTATTCTAGGTCTTGAGTATCAAGAAGCTAACCCTTTACAATGAAATTAATCCTTCTATTTATACTAATGGGGGGTATTGGGTGCTACTTGCTAATTGGTTGCTAATCCGGCCACTTTAAGTCCATACTCCCACTTGCTGCCGCCATACTTTAGCAATGAATGCTCACTGCCACTTGTTGGCTACCCGCTGTCCGAACGGGTAGTGGACCCTGCTGAAATCATCATTGATCTGGCCTAAGTACATTGGTTGACCCGAACCCCGTTCGGTGCATATTTCTCCATGAGCCTGTTCATCTTCTGGATTCTGGTCTTGTTTAACGGACTGGATATACTGGGCCTTTGGATCTGGGTATTGGGCCTTCAACCCAATATCCCAACACGAGTCCCCCACTTCTGATGTCTCGAACGGTAGTGAGTAGGGGTGGTTCGGTACGGTATACCGAATATTTTCTCTCATACCTTTACCGTACCAAAACTTTCGGTATACAAAATTTATATACCGTTACCTTACCGAAGTTTCGGTATACCGCATTTCGGTATACCGAAGTTTCGGTTCGGTAACGGCATGGTATCGGTAAATTACCATGCATGTCTCCCAACACAACAAATTATCATAGACTAACGAAATAGGCTAAATCAGTGTTACTAGTGACATATTTATTTCATTATTAAAATTTTACATATATAATTAATAATCTATTGATGTCATACTCAATATTGAACAATAATTATTATTAGTATATTTAAGCAGTTCAACATGTCACGTATTAAAAAACAACACATTCTCCTAAAATAACTTGAACGATGTAGATATAATTAAATCAATAGTGATCTCTAACAATAATAAATAAAATTATTCAAACAACATGGATAAAAATCATTTATTCCTAATACTACCTCTGTCCCAA